AAAAAACAAAAAAAGGAAGTGCATATAAACTTGAAATTATGCTTAATTATCAATGCTTCAGAATTCTATCTTACTTAGAAATGACCTAGGTATCCAATGATTATCCATGAATTAACTCAATTTAATATCAGTCCATCGGTTTAAGTTGATATATTGTCGGGCTGACATACACAAAACATAGGTTTTTTTTGTTGTTGTTTGGTTTGGTTTTTTTTGAGACAGAGTCTCACTCTGTTCCCCGGGCTAGAGTGCCGGGGCATCAGCCAAGCTCACAGCAACGTCAAACTCCTGGGCTCAAGCAATCCTCCTGCCTCAGCCTCCCAAGTAGCTGGGACTACAGGCATGTGCCAACATGCCCGGCTCATTTTTTCTATATATTTTTAGTTGGCCAATTAATTTCTTTGTATTTTTAGTAGAGATGGAGTCTCACTCTTGCTCAGGCCAATTTTGAACTCCTGACCTTGAGCAAGCCTCCCACCTCAGCCTCCCAAAGTGCTAGGATTACAGGCATGAACCACTGTGCTGGCCTATTATTGCTGAAATAAAGTTTGTTAAAATAATAACTAAATTTGGGTAAACACAAACTTATATTTGTCATAACTTTAAACATTAAGTAGGAGTAATGCTAGTTAATTTAATCAGTACGTCTATATAAGTTTAGAAAAAAACATATGTAAGTGCATTAAAAAAGTATGCTTAACAATGATAAATCAGTCTTTAAAGAGGTCATGGAAAAAAATAGACATAAAAATTATAAATAATTTAGAAAAATGTTTTCTAAAAAATTTAACAAAAATAAAAAATAAACAACAATGATAAATCAGGTAAGTCGTAGCTGCTTTCATTAAACCAAAAATATTAAAGCAATCGCATTTGCTGAAGATACATATAAATTATGTTGTATTAGTCAGTTTGGGCAGCTGTAACAAGTTACTATAAACTGGGTGACTTAGAAAACAAAACAGTTTTTCCTTACAATTCTGGAGGCCGGAAGTCAAAGTTCAGGGTGCCAGAATGGTCCGGTTCTAGCGAGGGTCCTTTTCCAGCTTGCAGACTGCCAACCAGTTCTTGTGCTCTCCTGAGCTGGAAGGCAGGCTAGCTAGCTCTCTGCTCTCTTCTTATAAAGGTACTAATCCTACCCATAATGCCCCACTCCCATAATCGAATTACCTCTCAGAAGCCCCACCTCCAAATGCCATTTCATTGGCAGGTGAGAATTCTACCACTGAACTACCCATGACATACAACTGGGACTAGGGTTTCAACATATAAATTTTGGGGTGACACAAATATTCAGTCCATGGCATATGTGAACTTAAATTCCTAAAACATTTGAGTTGGTTCCCATAGGAATGCTTTGCTAGCACATTGAAAGAATTAGAAGTACAATTTCCTTTTCTTTTTTTTTTTGAAAATCTAGGCATATTCAGTTTATATAAGCACTTTTGTATCTCTGTAAGCCAATGGGAACAGAAAGTCTTTTAAGATACTCTATAATTTAATACTATTCAGAGGTAGAAACTTACAGATAATTTACTTATAATTTACTTTATTTATTTATTTTGAGACAGAGTCTCACTCTGTTGCTTGGGCAAGAGTGCCAGGGCGTCAGCCTAGCTTACAGCAACCTCAAACTCCTGGGCACAAGCAATCCTTCTGCCTAAGCCTCCTGAGTAGCTGGGACTACAGGCATGCGCCACCATGCCCAGCTAATTTTTTCTTTATGTTTTTAGTTGGCCAATTAATTTCTTTCTATTTATAGTAGAGACGGGTCTCGCTCTTGCTCAGGCTGATTTCGAACTCCTGACCTTGACCTTGAGCGATCCACCCACCTTGGCCTCCCGGAGTGCTAGGATTACAGGCGTGAGTCACCATGCCCAGCCTATAATTTACTTTAATACTATTAGAGGTACACACAGAACAGAGGTAAATAAAGATGACTTTTTTGAATGTCAGACACACAGACATAAAGAGAAATTGAGTTTATAGCTTCAATTCTAAAATTTCAGACGTGGGTCAAGAGTAAACACAGAGACTGGGAGTGGTGGCTCATCCCTGTAATCCTAGCGCTCTGGGTGGCCAAGGCGGTAGGATCCCTCAAGGTCAGGAGTTGGAAACCAGCCTGAACAAGAGTGAGATCTTATCTCTACTAAAAAATAGAAAGAAATTAATCGGCCAACTGTGAAATAAAATAAAAGTTTAAGGCTCACTCCACCCCCACCGGCTGACTGAATGGACCCCCCTTGTGACCAAAGGAATATCCTAAAACGAAATTGTCTACCAGGAGGAGGGAGATCAGATGTGCCTCATCATGCCTCCCTCCCTTCTTGGAGACATCCTTAGTGACCCATTGACAGGCCTAACAGTATGCAAGACAAACCAGCAGGTCCTCAATTTACCCAACAAATGTATGTCACATGGCTTATCTCTGATAGCAACTCCTTATGTTGAAACATTCCAAGCCTTTAACAAAGCTTCGTGTCTTTAACCAATTACAAGTCAAAGAATTTTTAAACCCACATGTAACCGGTAAGCCCCCCCCCTGCCCCCCCTTCAAGATGTCCCAACTTTTTGGGCCAAGCCAATGTATGCTTCCCACGTATTGATTTATGACTTTACCTGTAACCCGTCTCCCTGAAATGTATAATACAGCCACTACGAGTCCACTTGCTCAAGGCTTCTTGGGAGATGCTCCAGGTCATGGTCCTCAAATTTGGCTCAGAATAAACTTCTTTCAAATATTTCAGAGTTTGGATTTTTCCATCCACACAACTAAAAATATATAGAAAAAATGAGCCGGGCATGTTGGCACATGCCTGTCCCAGCTACTTGGGAGGCTGAGGCAGGATTGCTTGAGCCCAAGAGTTTGAGGTTTCTATGAGCTAGGCAGACGCCATGGCATTCTAGCCCAGTCAAGAGCGTGAGAGACTCCAGCTCAAAAAAAAAAGAGTAAACACAGAAACGAAAAACTCACTAGTGCAGATATCACCATTCTCCACCTGCTGGGCATGAAAATTTTAATTGATGTGAGCTCAAAGTAGACAAACAGAAAAGACTAATCAATCAGACTTTCTCTTGTCTTTCATCTAATAGGATTAGACCTCTCGAAACATTAATCCTCTTAAAAGAGATCATCAAGTGGTCAGACCATAAAGCCAATTTCACGATCATTGATGGTAGTAATGGAAAACAAAAAACAAAACTGAACTAAAAAATACCTCTGCTGCAAACGAACCAAAACCAAAGGAAAACACAAAATTGGTAGAAAAGAAAATTACTAAAAAAACAGGAAGTCGGCAAAGCTTTTTTGCACAGTTGGACTCACTCTTAGGAGCCAAGAAAAGCTGTGCCTGGGTTTCAGCCCCTCGCCTGCGCATGTGCACCACTCTGCAGACGGTTTGCCCGGCTCAGTTTTGTGATTCCAACGGGGGGAGGGTCTCGGTGAAGACCTCAAAACCGTTAAAACAGAAGAGCAAGATTAAGACTGTCGCGCAGATAGAAAAATGAGCACATGCTAAAGATTTTATTTAACTCAAGAGGACCTGGCAGGTATTATAACCAGTTCCAAAGAGAATATGAAGAACAAACTTACAGATCAAGAATATTGAAATTATTAAGTAAATGGGGAAATGGAGTCAAAACTAGATTTTCTCTGGAGTTTGGGGTAGTCAACCATCTTCCGCCAGGCAGGACATAGTTTGCATATGTTAACCACAATTTTCAAAGAGGTGTGAAATAGCGCAAAGACTATGAACAGGGCTGGAATCAAATTAACAGGGTTTTCCAAACAATGCTTAATTTTCCATTGAAACACAAAATTCTTTTTCTACACACTTTATCCTATTCAGGGGTAAAGTTATGCGTAATTTTCTTTTTTCAATTCTGTGTAGTTTCTGATCTACAGTTGTTATGAATTGCAAGTGGCTTGGAAAAGCTAAATTTATTTTGTCCTTGTTGGGGGGAGGAAGGTATTTTGTTCCCGGCTAATACTCTATTTTATCGCTGGGCTCTATGTCCTAATATTTTAGCGACATGATGTCTCATTTGTGATCATAAGCAAATGTGATATGAGGGACCCCTTTCCTTTATTTATCATGGTTGTGCGTGGACACTGATTCTCTTATTCTTTTAAACTTTGTTTGATTGATTGAGACAAGGTCTCGCTCTGTCGCCCAAGCTGGAGTGCAGTAGCCTGAGCACAGCTCACTGCAGCCCCGAAATCGGCCTGGAGCGATTCTTGCTCCTTGGCCGCCCCAAGGGCCAGATTATCGGCGTTAACAACCGCGCCCGGCTTAGAGGGTCCCTTAATGACGTAGCCTTAGGCCGGGCGCGGTGGCTCACGCCTGTAATCCTAGCTCTCTGGGAGGCTGAGGCGGGCGGATTGCTCAAGGTCAGGAGTTCAAAACCAGCCTGAGCAAGAGCGAGACCCCGTCTCTACTATAAATAGAAAGAAATTAATTGGCCAACTGATATGTATATAAAAAAAATTAGCCGGGCATGGTGGCGCATGCCTGTAGTCCCAGCTACTTGGGAGGCTGAGGCAGAAGGATCGCTTGAGCCCAGGAGTTTGAGGTTGCTGTGAGCGAGGCTGACGCCAAGGCACTCACTCTAGCCTGGACAACAAAGCGAGACTCTGTCTCAAAAAAAAAAAAAAAAAAAAAGACGTAGCCTTAGAATAAGCAGAAATTTGAGGGTGGGCCTCGGGGCTGCCAGTCTTCACAGCACATAGACGCTCAGAGCTAGACGACGCAGGGACTTTTAAGACGTTCCCTAAACCTGGTGGCGCATGGATTCATGGGAAATAGAGTCCCGTTACCTGTCCCGGGGTCGGCAGCGGCCCCAGGAGGCGAACTCCGGGACTCTCCTGCGCATGTGCCTTCCCCCTCTGTGCGTGTTCACGCATGCGCACCCCCGGCGCTCTGCCCTCGCTTCCGATGCGTCCTCAGGTCGCGGATCAACGTCGTTGCCAGGTTTTGGCCTCGGGTGGGCGAGATCGCGGACCTTGAGGGGGTGAACGCCGACCGGCGGGGCCGACACGCAGGCGTATGCGAGGCTGTGTGGCCCCAGGTTCGCGCGGACTCGGCGGAGGCTCGAGTGGGGACCCTGGAGTGCGAGCCCCGGGCCCGCGGTGCTGGGGTTCGAGGGCCGGGCGGGCAGCGACGGCGACTAGCGGGCGGCGGAACCCGCCACCGGCCCGTCTGCATCCTCGGCGGCGCGGCCGCAGCTGTGCGGGACGGTGAGTCCCAGAGGAGGCAGATTTAAGGCTCGAGAGGGACGCTACGCCTGAATTTGTCCCGTAGGCCCAGATCCGGTTCCTCGGGAACAGAACGGCCTTGGTGGAGTGGAAGGGAGGCGACCTCGGGAGCAGAAGCGCGCCCGCGAAAACACTCCCCCGCCTCTGTCTGTCGGGAACCGTGGGGCAGAGGCCGCGGAGGCCCAGGAGGGGTAGGTCGTGGCTTTGCGAGCCCGGAGTGAGCTGGGCTTGGGTGAAGTAGTCGCATTCCGAGGACATTAACTTGTGGGACAGGGGAGGGTTTTGATGGCTTTCAGGGTAGAGGAGTGGTTGGGTTTGAGGGCGGGACATGCTGCACTGGAATAGGCTTCTCCTGGGGAAGATTTTTGAGGACAGGGTTTAAAGGGAGGGGGGCGTGTCGCCAGCCTCAGCTGGGGACTTTTTTCCTCCACTCTTTTCTCCTCTCACCGCTCCAGATCTCGAACGAGTGTGTTACTAAATGTCCATCAGCAGTTAGTTCTCTAATTTGTGTCTGCTGATTCCATCTCAGGTCTGGCCCTGTAGAAACGACATTTCAGTGCAGGAAAAGTCTGCAAGGATTCTCTCTTGCTGCCTCAGTTGCTAGAGGAAGACATTGGGCCTTAGCAGATGAGTGACTTTTCCATGGTCACCAGGTTTGTTGGTAGGATGGCCAGTAGTAGAACTCAGGAGTCTTATCTTTCAGGCTAGTGTTCTGTCCACTGTATCTTAGTTAAATCAGAGTAAGTTTTTAACAAAAGGTCCTTTTGAACAGCCGGCACTCAAAATTTGTACACATAAAGACTCAACCATGCTGACTGTATCTCTTTATTCAGAGCATTCTATGGATTTTCTTTTTATTTTTATGGCAAGCATGAAAATGAGGCTTATTGAGGAGAGAAAGATAGGATTATAGAGCAAGATCCAGATACAGGTTTACAGAGCATGATACATACGCCACAGATGATGACCAGACCCATTGTTGTAGCAAAGGGAGAACAAAAGGAAGGAGCAAAAAAAAAGGTGATTTTTCTGATCTTAAGTAGTTAAAAGACTTAGAAAATAGATGGGTGTTACAGAACTCTTTTTATTGTACACTTAATGAGGACAGATTATTTTACTAGGATCCAGTTGTCATTCACTGTGAGAATCACACCCAGTTACTTGGTAACCATGTGTGAGCTACAAATGTGCACATGGGTGCAGTGCACCTCCTGGTCATTTTCCAGTCCCTACTGAGGGCTTAAAGTGACAGTCTCCTGTAGGGTGTCCTTCATGGATCTTTCTGGGTAGGTTTTTATGCAGGAGATTCCTGCCTTGGCAGGCCAGATCACCCATAACTTCATTGCTTGTGTTTTCCTTTCCCAGATCTTCTGTTTTTACAGCCTTCCACATTTTTCCAAGAGCAGCAGAAAATGAATAAATCCCTGGTGAGCTTTTCTGTTCATATATTTATTCTCTTGTTTGATTTACAATATACCTTAGGAAATGAATAATGGTTTAGGTTTTAAGTACGAAAGTAGAAATAGATAAAGGTATGGTCGACAAAACAGTAGCCAGCACCAGCATATTTGTCATTTTCATGTGTGTAGATAGCATGATCTTTAAAGAGTTTTTAAAGCCAGAGTACTAGTGTGTCTCACATTCTTGGCATTCATCACAAAAAAATGACAAATTCCATCTGGTACTTACATTGACCATAGGCAGAAACATTTTTGTTTTCGCATGGATTTTAAAGATTTCTTTGACATAAACCATACATAACCTTCCTAAATGATAGCCCTTAACCCGCAGCCATCCCTGTCTTATTTGTTCTTCATGTAAGCAGAGAGTGTACTGCCCACAGATGACTTAATGCATATGATATCTCTGGTGATTCAAACATTGTTGTCCCACAGATATATTGTTTTTACTGCTCAACCCAGTGATAAAACATGGATCATCTGCAGGAATGGCTCTCCTACCCTTAAATTAGCATTGGTAAATATTTCTCCCTGTTAGTCTGTCTGGGTTGCACAGCAGACAGAGCAGTGATAAATCTCTGGCAAGAAGCCCTTATCTTCCATTCCCATTTACTCCTGTAGCCTACAGCCTTGGTTCTGTCCCTTCCATTCCCCTGACCTTGTTCTGGTAGAGGTTGCCAGTCCTTGCTGTAGACCGAGTCTCCTCTGTCAGTTTCTATGACATCTCCCTCCTTGTCTTCCTGAATTTGATGATTTCTCTGCTTTCTTCACCTATTGTTCTCTACTCTGGGCTCATGACTCTTCTTATACCTCTCTGAGCTCACACTCCTATGCTTCTAACCACCAGCTCTATGTTAGTTCTTGCACATAGAGCCATAGGTGCTTCTGTCCAGCCACCTGCTCAGCATTTCTATGGAATGTGGAATGTGTTCATAGATGCAGTAGATCCAAAAATGATTATTTGCAAGCCCCACTTATGCCTTCTCCTCTTATCCTGTTGGTTCTTTCATTGTTCCATAATCTAGCCTGTAACACTATCTAGAAAAATGGGATTCTTTCTGAACTCCTTGGCTATTCTGTCTTACCACATGGGATTGTTCGAGTTTGTTAATGTTATGTTCTAAATGGCTTTATCATGTCCTCTGATCCCATCCCTGCTACTGTTAAAAATAGCTTGTTTTTTTCATCTCTGGACTATTGCAGGGACTTCCTTTCTTTGCTGCTTCTTCTGTCCACTAACTCAAGTATATTTTCTACATTGAATATTTCTCCTAAACCTAAAGCATTAATGGTATCATGCTGCCTTCATGTGGAAAGCACTTGAGAAGCTCCCCGAGTAGCTGAGAAAATGAGGTTGCCTTTAACTGGGATGGAGAAGATTGTGGGAAAAGCAGGTTGAAAAAAGGCCAGAATTAGGTCTTAGATGTTTTAAATTTGGGCTGTTTGGTATGAGGTGAGGTGGCAACATCAGGAAGGCAAATGTATATGGGGTGGGTGGTGGTGGTGCCAGGAGATGAGTCCAGGTGGGAATTGGCACTGGAAGTTGGGCAGGGGGTTAGCCCCGGCTCTCCCACATGCAGTCTTATACAGAAGGAGAAACTGGGAAGGGGCTGCTGGTCAGGCAAGAGCGAGAACCAGGGGCCTGCAGTTCCTGAAGCCAAGGGAAGGAGAAGCTTCCAGGAGTGGGTCATCAGCTATGTCAGCACTGTTAATAGTCCAGCCAAATGAGGACTGAGAAATAACCGTGGGATTTGGCCCTGGGAAGGTCATGCAACTCCCTGAGGATTTGTTGGGCTGGATATGCAGGGTAAATCCTGATTGGAGAGGTTTAAGAGAGAGTGGTAGAAGGATTGGATTGGGTATATTCCTAACTCTTGAGAAATTTTGCCCTGAAGAGGAAAAGCTTGACAGTGGCTGGAGTAGGAGTTGAAGCCAAGAAAGGATTTTTTTTTGTTTTAACAGGAAAAACAGGCCGAGCGTGGTGGCTCGCATGGTGGGTCGTGTCTGTAATCCTAGCACTCTGAGAGGCTGAGGCGGGCGGATTGCTTGAGCTCAGGAGTTCAAGACCAGCTTGAGCAACAGCAAGACCCTATCTCTACTAAAAATAGAAAGAAAATTACTTGGACAGCTAAAAATATGTAGAAAAAATTAGCCAGGCATGGTGGCACATGCCTGTAGTCCCAGCTACTCGGGAGGCTGAGGCAAAAGGGTCGCTTAAGCCCAGGACTTTGAGGTTGCTGTGAGCTAGGCTGATGCCATGGCACTCTAGCCTGGGCAACAGAGTGAGACTCTGTGTCAAAAAAAAAAACAAAACAGGAGAAATAACAATGGGGATGATGCAGTGAAGAATGAAACGTAGTTGATGCATGTGGGAAAGAGGAGTATGGTTGGAGGTTCCTAGATCAGGGAGAGGGACACGGATGGGGACCGGGATTGGAGGGGTCCCCGGAGGTGGTTCAAGACGGGTAGACATGTGGCATGCCTTCTGCTCACTTTTCTCAGGGAAATAGTTAATCAGCTGAGAGTGAGGCTGAGGTTGGGGGTTTAGGGAGAGAGCAGGTCCATCCTGACCACCTGTACACATGGCTTAGCTAGCTGGGAGGATTATATTTTTTCTGAAATTCCATCTCATTTATTACAATGTGGATGTAATTTACTACTCTTGGGATTTTTTTGTAATGACATTGGTGCTTCTCAGCTGAAAGTGACTGGAACATCAGTTCTAGCCGTATTTTTCTGTTCTGGTGCTTGAAGATACCCAAAAGAAGCTTCCTCCTTGCTTGGCTCTTTGCTTTGGTAACCCTTTCTATCATCTAGTATTTTGTCTTTTTTTCTTAGACATTAACCTCATACGTCTTTAGGTTTGGAGACATGATTTTAAGAGGCCCTTCTTTCCCTTGAGTTTATATTCTCCTTGGAGGAGATAATTCATAGACGTGTTTACAGGAGACAGTGGGAATCTTTATGGTCAGTACATGGGAAACTTTGAAGTGATGACTGTAGATGTATTATAAAGTATTGTGACTCAGTCACCCAGTGGAGGGAAAGGTATGAGTCCAATGAGGTGGGGTTTTGACAGCCCTGGAGTAATTAGGGTTCATTGCAAAGGCTGGTAAAGGCACCTGAGGAAGGCTCCTGAAGGGCCAATAAGACTTCTGCTTTCTTAGGATTTAGGCTTCCTGTTGAGGGACAGTGACGAACGTGAATGGAGGTAAATACTGAGATTGACCCAGGAGTCACCACTGCTCTAGTGATGTTTGATTTTACACTGCAGAGAATTTGAAACCACTTAATTGGGAAAGCAAGTCATCTGATAAAAAGATACAAGTGGAGCCTGACAATGTGAAATGCAGTAGGGGTTTTGGGGGCAGTAAGTCAAGGGCACGCAGGGGTTTCTAGCTGAGCCAGAAAGGGAGTGTGACTCAGGGTGCTCCGGCTGCTCCCGGGCACCCTGCATGCCCACAGGCTTGAGTTTTTCCTTAACCTTATGAGTGAGGTTGAGGTTTGAGTATATTTTTACATATTTCGGAGCTGTTTATTTTTTTTACTATCAGTAGACTTATTTTTTATGGCAGTTTTTGGTTTATAGAAAAGTCGAGCAGATGGCAGAGTTCCCACACACCTCTCCCCTCTCAGTTTCCCCTGTTAGTAACGTCTTGCATCAGTGGTACAGTTGTTCCACTTGAACCAATATTGATGCATTATTATTACCTAAAATCCATTGTTTACATTAGGGTTTACTCGTTGTATTTTGCATTTCAGGTTTTGACAAATGTATAATGACATGTATCTACCATTAGTGTGTCATGTAGAATAGTTTCACTGCCCTAAACACCCTCTGTGCACCAACCTCCCTTCCGCTTTTCCCAGCTCCTGGCAAGTGCTGACCTTTTTATTGTCTCCACATTTTTGCCTTTTCCAGAGCATCATGTACTTGGAACTATCCAGCACATAGCTTTTTCAGACTGGCCCATTTCTGTGTTTATGCTAAGTGCCTGTTTACATCCACTGCCAATGTTTCTATCATTGTTTTGTTTTGCTTTTGTTGACTTTTAAGTACACTTAAATGATCATAAGATTTTTTAGTTTTGGTCATGTTAGTAGACATTTTCTTCCAAGTTAATGTCTTTTTACTTTATTTTCCAGTATTACCATATAATTCTTTAATATTTTTATTTTGAGAAATCAAATATTTCATATTTTTAAAATTTCTCAGAGTAAGGACGTTTGCATGGATAGGCTTCCTAGAGCACCCTCTCCACCCAGTGCTCAAGTGCAGCATCTTGAAAGATAACATCAGTGGTGGTGAGCAGGAGGAATTTATTTGAGGTTCTTTTATTTCTGTAGGAGTTTTCATTTTTCCCCTCCTATTTCTGGCATACTGCTTCAGTTGTTTTTCTTGGATTGGCCACATAGGTGGTGTACTAATATTGACTCTTTTGAGTCTTTGCATATCTGAGATGTCTTTTTTTTTCTGCTGTACTAGAGCTATGGTCCCCAACCCCTCTGCTGCAGCCTGGTACTAGCCTGTCAGGAACCAGGCCACACATCACCGCCTAAGCTCCATCACCCTCCCCCTCTACCGTCTGTGGAAAACTTGTCTTCAGTGAAACCAGTCCCTAGTGCCAAAAAGATTGGGGACCCCTGTACTAGAGGACCCTTCCTGGCTGAGTAGAGGACACTTGGAGTGCAGTCTTTTGGCCTCAGTAGGCTGTAGCTGTTGTCTGACTGTTGTTAGTTCCCAGTGATGCATGTGTGATCGCTGATGACTGTGGCATACAGAGTTCCTTTGTTAAAGTCCTCTTGCATCTTTTTCATGTTCTATTCCTCTGGGGAATACACTTTTTCCCTCAAATTTTGCTGATGGAATTACAGTGCTTGCCCTTGAAATTACCATCCTCCCTAACCACTCATGAAAGGAATCTCAGAAAGGCAAGGAGAACATTCTCCCTTCCCCACAGCATTGGAGAAGCAAGCATTATCTGTATCATAAACCAAGCTCTGATAAAGTGGTAAATTGAGATTTTTCACAAAAGTATTCTTGCTCTAAGGTCTGGCTCTGGCTTGTGCGACAACATATAATCCAGATCAGAATTCTATGATTACAAAACTGTCTTTGGAATATTATCTCTACCAAGTGGTCTTTTAAGACACACTCATCATAGGTTGTTCCCTTGTCTTATGAAATTAATCTAAAATCCCGAAATATTTGCAGTTCTGATTGGTTGTCTTAACAACTTGTTATCCAAGTTTTCTGAAATCCATTTTCTTAAAGTTATTGCTTATAAAACTTCTTGTTTTAAGGCAGAGAAAAAACAGTGCAATTTTATTCTTGTTCCTTTGTGCATAAAAGTGAACTCAGGTAAGCTACTTAAACCCTTCACCAAATAAAAAATAAGTTTGGCTAGGCACGATGGCTCATGCCTGTAATGTTAGCACTTTGAAAAGCCAAGGCAGGAGGATTGCTTGAGGCCAGGAGTTAGAGACCAGCCTGGGCAACATAGCAAGACTCCGTCTCCACATAAATTTAGAATAGCTGGGTGTGGTGACGTGCACCTGTAGTCCCAAGCTACTTGGGAGGCTAAGGCAGGAGGATCACTTGAGCTAAGGAGTTTGAGGCAGCAGTGAACTATGATGATGCCACTGCACTCCAGCCTGATCAACAGAACAAGACCCTGTCTCAAAAAAAAAGTTTGGAACATTCATGAGAATGCTGTTTGCAAGCAGCCACAGTACATGTATTTTATGTGTATTCCAAATAACAAAACCTATAATTTTTTCTTATTGTATTTTTTCCCATAAGTTGCACATTTTGTGAAATTATAAATGCAAAATCAGAAAGTTAGAATAAAGTGCAATTTAGCCTGTTGACACATACAAATTAGACTGCTTTTTCATTCTCTGTTCCCTCACTCTCTTGTATTTGTTAATGACTTTTAATATACAACTTACATGATTGTCATATTGGACTGTTTTGACCCCAAAATAATCTTCCCTTCCTTCAGTTAGCATTCTTTATTAAGAAATCATCTATTTGTTTTGTTTATTTTTTCACAAACATGAACTCTCTACTAGGTACTGGGATACTAAAAATAATTAAATATTCCTTCTCAGGAAGATTGCTTAGAATCCCTTGGTGGGAAGGATTCAAATAAAAACAAATACATTATATATAAAATCTATAGAATAGAAGTATGAGTGAAATGGTATGTTTATTTCTAAGTATGTTTTTGGCAAAGATTGTGTCCCTGGGATATTTTCAACCCAAGAGAGATTCTGGTTTAAAATAGAGATTTTATCTGTTCACACTTATGTCTAGTCATAGATATATGTGGTGCCATTACTTCTATCTTACTGTGTTTTTGTTAATGACACATTCTTATTACTTTTTTGCTTTCCTTTCATGAATTTTTCTGAACGGATAACTTTCTACACATTTCTCCTCTTCTTATGAGTGATGTGAAAGTCAGTTGCCTGTTTTTACTCATTGTACGATGGACTGTGCTGACAGATATCAGGTGGACAAACTAAACAGGGACACACATTTGAGGAAATGAAATCAGACTTGCTTTACTAAGAAATCAACAAGTTGTTATCTCTCAGCAAGGCAGAGCAGTGCAATATATGAACTTCTGGACTGCCTCCATCCTTAGCAGGCCAGTGGCCAGTGATGTCTGAATGAAGTGTAGGCAGAGCTTCTAGAACCCTTACTGTTGCTCTCCCAGGCAGTCTCATTACCTACTGAGGCAGTTCTGCACATGGATTCATCTGTCTGGGGCAGGAACCACTTCTCCCACCACTATGTGTCCCATCAGCAGTTGGATACTCTCTGCCCTGATCACCCTCACCCTTACCATGCCAGCCAGGCCTATCCCTAGAAACCCTATCACCTGGAGCTGAGTGAGAACATCATGGCATCTCTGGGAGTCCTACAGGGGGACCTATCCTGCACTTGTTAATCACTCCAAATATAAAACCTAAAATACTTGATCAACACCAGAAGTTTGTCATCACACCTGGCCTCTAAGCATGAAGTGGCCTTTCCTTCACCACCTTCCCCACTGCTCCTACCACTATGTTTTGTTGAAATCATCTGAACCTTTTTGTTTTTAACATACAAATACTGTTTTATACTTCTTTCTTGGCAGTTACATAGAACTTAGCCACATTACCTTTAGTTATTTAAACTTAACTTCTATGTCTTATGGTTAATTTTCTGTCCTAATTTGGAAAGTGATAAGATACACAGTAGATAGTCAATAATAACAGTAGATATCATTGGTAAGTATGTATTATGTCTACAATACTATGTTAAGTGCTTTCCACAGATTAGTCTATTTAATATTAGTATTATATGATAGGTACCATTATTATCTTTATTTTAGAGGTGATAATACTAAAGGAATAGTTATAATGGCTGATGTGAGTACTTGTGAATGGGACAGTTTATTCAAAAGATACACATTTAAAGATACAGTTTTGACAGTTTCCAGGAAACCTGTCAGCCCCTCCCCAGGAAGGTGCTTCTCCTTTCCTGCAATGTGCAAAATGGGAAGAAAGATAATTTAGGGATACCCAAGCCAATCTATTATTGATAATTCATGTAGCAGGCTGTGGTCAGACCGGCTGTAGGCTTATTCTTATAATAAAATACAAAACTGGAATGTATGTTGCCAGGCTTGCTTGTTGTTTTGGTAATTGTGGCCAATATTGCAGATTGGTCCTAGTAGTAGCTATAGGAGGAGCAGGTTTGGACAGGAGCAGTGATTGAATTTTAGGCATGTTGAATTTGAAATCTGAGACATATGTGTCTGGAGTTTAGGAGAGTGGCCTAGGCTGGTGATGTAAGTTTGGAAAATGCTGGTATAAAGATGGTAATTATTAATAAATTAGTCATGAAGCCAGGTGGGCTCACCATCGAAGCGATGAGTACAGAGAGCAAAGAGAAAAAAACCAAAGACTGAGCCCTGGGGCCCTCCAAAAATTCAGGATGACTTGGAGGAGAGGAAGAGCCAACAAAGGAGATTGAGAAGGAGTGGCCAAGGAGATAAGAGAGAACCAACATTGTTGATGTTCTGGAAGCAAAATGAGAGTGTTTGAAGGAACAGAGTGTATGAGTATATATCCTGAGATTCCATGAGTGTTCCTCATGCCTGTACTCCTCAGGAGCCAGGTTCCTGGTTTACAGTGTGAGCCTAGCATTTTATAAAATGTCTATGGAATGAACCTAATAGCAGTGTATTTCTAATATGTTTGTTTTCTCCACAATCTGTAATATAACATAAGGTGTACAATGTTTATGATTAACTTTACCAGGGAGCTTATTAAGATCTTGTCCCCCTGTGCCTTTTCCACATTACCCACTTCCAATCATGGTGCCATTACAGGGACCAGTGTCATTCAAGGATGTGGCTGTGGACTTCACCCAGGAGGAGTGGCAGCAGCTGGACCCTGAGCAGAAGATAACATACAGGGATGTGATGTTGGAGAACTACAGCAATCTAGTTTCTGTGGGTGAGGATAGCTTGCTTTCTTCGTTGCTAATATATATGGGATTCTCTCAAATTTAATGATTTTAACTTCGAATTTGATGGGACAAATGTTATTTGGGCACCAGGCAGAGCATTTTGGTCTTTACCTCCCCAGTGAAAGGTTCTGATTTCAATAAACCACAAATGGCACTTTTGTTGTGCAACTCGTACAGAGGCCCTTTCCTCATATGACAGAGACCCTGAAGCCAAGCAGCTAGGCTCAAGTTCTCTTTCATTTCTCATTAACAGGGTATCACATTATCAAACCGGATGTTATCATCAAGTTGGAGCAAGGAGAAGAGCCATGGATAGTAGAAGGAGAATTCCTACTTCAGAGCTATCCAGGTGTGTTAGTGAAGGCAGTGAGGAGATTGGTAACTTGGTAGTGTTTTTCCCAGGAATTTTTTAATGGTCGCAAACCTTTAGAGTTGACTAAAGATAGTTACTTCTATGCTGTAGGCACCTGAAACTCACTCCCAAAGACTTCTTTCTTCCCCATAAAAACTTTAGTTATAGAGCTTTGTCATGCTTACCACTACCCAGAATCAAAATACAGTTACTTCCTTTATCCTCTCAAACCTTGGGTCTTTATTTGCTCTTCTAGCATTTTCAGTAACTGTTACCATACATTTCTTTTGTTTTTAGGCATTCATAAGTCTGCTGTTAAAAAATAACTTATTTGACTCTTATGTTCTTATTTATTACCTTCTGGACCTTTTCATCTTTATTGTGAAATGCCTCAGACTTGTTTCTATTTCCAGTTTCACTTTTTAATTCTCTTTCTTTGAGGTCAGATTCCAAAATCCCCATCCCATGCCTAAGCTGATAGGTTGTGTCACTCGTTGTGATGTGTGCCTGTGCTTTATTTGACAGTGCTGGCCATTCCATAGCTCCCAGCCCTCCTTAAGTTTGGAGATGACAGTAATTGGTTCTCCCTCTTTAACCAAGTGCTTGATTTCATCTTGTTTCTTATTTGCTGTTCTATTCCCAGTGCTTTGAATGATGTCCTTTCATAGAAGGTGTTTCATAAGTATTGTATACATAAGTGAAGTCTGGTTTATTTATCCTTCCATCTCCAGACATGTCTCCAAAGATCTGCTTCTGCCTGCTGTGACTTCCTTGTTTCCTGAGTTCCTCAAATGGCTCCTCTAGTCTCTAGTCTGTAGGGTTTTGTTTGTGTTTATGCTGCTCACACCCTGTGTGATGCCTCTAGCACCATTGCACAGCCTGGCTCTGCTCTCATTCTCATCATGTCTGAATACTGATCATAAACTCTTCCAGATTGTATTAATAATTACTAATCACCTTTCCTACCTCCCTTTATTTACTAAATTATACCTCTTCTTTTCCTATAGTGGCCCCTACAAATACACTAAAAAGTCCACTTCTTATCAGGTATTACTGATCTCTCCAGGATTATTGGCTTTTGTCCCAGTGTGAAATATCTTAATTTATCTCTGGATATCAAGTTTCCTTTGACTTGATGTAACAAGAAGTATATTCTGTTAAGCCTGGATTGCTATGAATCCTAATTGGATTTGCACAGTGTCTTCATCTAAAGTTCCGAAGTGATCTTATCACTAGCCTCACAAGATAAGCCTATAAGCCTATTTGCTGTTCATTCCTAAAGAGAACTTCAGTTCTACATCCTTTAAGGATCACCACAATATTAGCCCTGTAAAGTAATTTTCTGTTGTTTCCCGGAACTCTAGTAAACTCCATTTGGTCCACACTCTAAACATCTTCTCTTCATGAGATTATTGTTTTTATGGGTTTATATTTCATTAGGGTATGCTTTCCTTCCCCAGATAATGTGTTCTTTCAACCCCTTTTTCCTTCCTAACTCTTATCATTACTCTAGTGTCTTCTTTCTCTCAACTTCAGTTCCACTAGGTAGTGATTCCATAAGGAAGTTAATCTGATCAAGTAATCTGTTATTTGATCGTATATATATTTGCTTGAGCTTTTTTGCTCCCTTGGATTGTAATCCTATAAAGAAAAGGGTGTGTTCTCCCTCGATGTAGTATGTAACATAGAGTAGGTATGTATTTCTTTGATTATCTGAGGAGCCAGGTAGGTGAACGGACTTTCTTGTCCATGCAGAAATAATTTATAAGCATTTACTTCTAAATATACATGCCTGGGTCATAGCCCCATATATTTTGCAAGTACTATAAAAATACCCGTATGATTAACTTCCTTGATTTCTGTTCTGGGGTTCAAAGGAAATACTTCCTAGGAGATAGGTTTCAATTAAGAAAAAAGAACAGAGTTGCATGAAGTAATTTAAAACTCAGTGTTTTACGTGGAGGGCTGATGATCCAATGCAAGGCTGAAATCACTTTGTGCTCAAATGATTATATGGACAATAATTATTTTCAACTTCAAGGGGAAATGGAGTTAATTGAGGTGAGAAAGGATTTGAAAAGTATTTTTTTAAAGCATGGAAACTCCCTTTAAAAGTAGATTTTGAGTAGATGAAGTCAAGAAATCAGGCAAACTGAGTGAAACAATAAGAGTAGAGACTTGTGGGTGAAATGCGCTGGGTGTCAGTTGGACGCCACAGCAATCTATAAGGCGGTGGTGCCTTAGATCATGACTGTTTCTCCCAACTAGATAGGATATGATAAGGTATAGTGTTGACCCATTTCCTCCAAAACAAATCCCTACTTGGTTGTCCCTTATGACTTTCCTTGTCCAACAAATAGCTTGGTTTTTCTGGAACAGAATATTTTTGGTGTACAATTGTCATCCTAATTTGGAATCATATTGTAAATCCAAGTAGTGAAAAGTATTGTTTATCAGATTCTTTTTTCTATTTTATCTGTTGATAATTTGGGAGCAGATTCAGGGAAATTGTAGGTTTTGGAGGATAAGGTTGACATGGTTTCAGTTAATGTGGATGATAGCAAATATGATAGGTTTTTACCAAAAAATTACTAAGATAACTAAAAATAAGTCACTATTTTAGGAGCAGGTTGGGGGATCTGATTCTTAAGGTTTGTAGCTACACTCAGGAGTGAGGAAGCTCTCACATTCAGAGATAAGTGACAGTAGTATGTCAGGGACAGGACTGGCTTAAAGAAATTGTCAGGAGATTGAAAATTGGAAAAATACTTGCTAAACTTATCAAGCATATGTTTTGTGCCAAATGCTGTTCTGAGCACTTTAAATTTGTTTTTTTGAGACAGAGTCTCACTCTGTTGCCCGAGCTAGAGTGCCATGGCATCAGCCTAGCTCACAGCAACCTCAAACTCCTGGGCTCAAGTGATCCTCCTGCATCAGCCTCCCGAGTAGCTGGGACTATAGGCATGTGCCACCATGCCTGGCTAATTTTATATATATATATTTTTTTTTTCCTTTTTTTAGTTGGCCAATTAATTTCCTTCTATTTATAGTAGAGATGGGGTCTCACTATTGCTCAGGCTGGTCTTGAACTCCTGACCTTGAACAATCCACCCGCCTCAGCCTCCCAGAGTGCTAGGATTACAGGTGTGAGCCACTGAGCCCAGCCTGTTCTGAGCACTTTATTTTTATTAACTCTTGTAATCCCATAACAAGTGTGTGAGGTAGGTGCCATTGTCTCCATCTGACAGGTGGAGAATACTGACTACAGAAAACTTAAGTAACTTGCGTATAGTCACCTCACCAGAGTTCATACTACATTGTCCAAATAGGAACAAACAGAATTTCATGGTCAGAATGAGTTGTATATTAAATCATAGCTTCATTAGAATATTTAAGAAATCTACAACTTTTGAAAGGATGACATGTTCTGTGGACTATTTTATATTTCCTGTTGGACATATATGTATTCTTGAGACTTTCCTTCCAAATGAAACAGAATTATAGGGTTAAAGTCTTGATTATAGGGCTCTTCCTTCAATATGAGGAAATTTATTCTGTTTGGAATGGGGAGAAAAGCAAAACAGTTTAGAAGTATGTAAACTAGTGAAAATGATACCATAAAAATCTCAGTGTATGATGATAGTGCCTTAGATTATAATCTGTCTCTCCTAACTTGACATGAAATGACATGGTATGAAGTGCTGGTCCACCTCCTCCAAAACAAATCCTTACTAGAATGTATCTTATGACCCTCCTTGTCCAACAGCACTGTCCGTCACCATATTGTTGGTATCTGTCTTGTCAACTGTTCATCTAACTTCCTTTGTGTACTGTTCATTGCTCTGTGTTTATATTTTATCTTTTATACCTGTTTTTGAAGAATATACAAAGTAGCAGAGATCAAAGGTGCTTGCATTTTTGTCAGTTTACTTCCCCCTATCCCCACATCTGGAGGTGGTAAGGAGGGGTGTGTGTGTATGTGTGTGATTCTAAACCAAAAGAATAAGAGGGAAAAGTACACTTGAAATTATTTTCATCTGTCCATGAAGCTAGCATCTTCCACCAATGAGATGCTTGTGTACATGTCTCATAAGTCTCATTCCACATCTTATATTGGAAGCTGTACAAAAGTTGGTTAATTTTGTCTCTTTTTAGATGAAGCCTGGCAAACTGATAACTTAATAGAAAGTGTCCAGGAAGATGAAGATAAACATTTGAGGCAAACTGTGTTCATCAGTGAGACCCTGATTGAAGAGAGAGGTAATGTTCCTGGTAAAATTTTTAATGTAGAAACGAACCCTGTGTCTTCAAGAAAAATAGCCTATAAAAATAGCCTATGTGACTCATGTGAAAAGAGTTTAACATCTATTTCAGAATATATTAGTAGTGATGGAAGCTATGCAAGAATGAAACCTGATGAATGTAGTGGATGTGGGAAGTCACTCCTCCATATTAAGCTTGAGAAAATTCATCCAGGAGATAAATCTTATGAGTTTAATCAAAACGGAGAACCTTACACTCTAAATGAAGAAAGTATTTATCAGAAAATTCATATTTTAGAGAAACCTTTTGAATATATTGAATGCCAGAAAGCCTTCCAAAAGGACCCAGTTTTTGTTAATCACATGGAAGAGAAGCCCTATAAGTGGAATGAATCTGAAATAGCATTTCTCCAAATGTCAAACCTCAGTGTACATCAGAGATCTGACGTGGAAATGAAGCCCTATGAATGCAGTCAATGTGGGAAATCCTTTTGCAAAAAGTCAAAATTTATTATCCATCAGAGGACTCACACAGGAGAGAAACCTTATGAATGTAATCAGTGTGGGAAATCCTTTTGCCAGAAGGGAACCCTCACTGTACATCAGAGAACACACACAGGGGAGAAGCCCTATGAATGTAACGAATGTGGGAAAAACTTCTACCAGAAGTTACACCTCATTCAACATCAGAGAACTCACTCAGGAGAGAAGCCCTATGAATGTAGTTACTGTGGAAAATCCTTTTGCCAGAAGACACACCTTACACAACATCAGAGAACACATTCAGGAGAGAGACCCTATGTTTGTCATGACTGTGGGAAAACCTTCTCCCAGAAGTCAGCACTCAATGACCATCAGAAAATTCACACAGGCGTGAAACTATATAAGTGTAGTGAATGTGGGAAATGCTTCTGCCGCAAGTCTACTCTCACTACCCACTTAAGGACACACACAGGAGAGAAACCCTATGAATGTAATGAATGTGGTAAATTCTTCTCTCGGTTATCATATCTCACTGTACATTATAGAACTCATTCAGGAGAGAAACCCTATGAATGTAATGAATGTGGGAAAACCTTCTACCTGAATTCAGCCCTCATGAGACATCAGAGAGTACACACAGGAGAGAAACCTTACGAATGTAATGAATGTGGAAAATTATTCTCCCAGTTGTCATACCTCACTATACATCATAGAACTCATTCAGGAGTGAAACCCTATGAATGTAGTGAATGCGGAAAAACCTTCTACCAGAACTCAGCCCTTTGTAGACATCGGAGAATACATAAAGGAGAGAAGCCCTATGAATGTTATATATGTGGAAAATTCTTCTCTCAGATGTCATACCTCACTATACATCATAGAATTCATTCAGGAGAGAAACCCTATGAATGTAGTGAATGTGGGAAAACCTTCTGCCAGAATTCAGCCCTTAATAGACATCAGAGAACACACACAGGAGAGAAAGCCTATGAATGTTTTGAATGTGGGAAATGCTTCTCTCAAATGTCGTATCTCACTATACATCATCGAATTCATTCAGGAGAGAAACCCTTTGAATGTAATGAATGTGGAAAAGCCTTCTCTCGGATGTCATACCTCACTGTACACTATAGAACTCATTCGGGAGAGAAACCCTATGAATGTACTGAATGTGGGAAAAAATTCTATCACAAATCAGCATTCAATAGCCATCAAAGAATTCACAGAAGAGGGAATGTGAACATAGTAGATGTGGGAAGGCTTCTCTGAAGTCAGAACTCATTTTATGTGAGAGAACTCTTTGAATTTAATGAATAAGAAACTTCTGCCTGATGTCAAACACATTGTACAACAGAGTGCTCACTCAGGTGAGTGTGGACAAACCCTTGTGTTAGTCATATAATCTGAAAACTCAAGAGTAGAGACCATGATTATTACAAGACCATATGATTCATTAGGTACCAGATAATGCAAGAGTAAAAGTTTATAAATATTTAGAATGTGTATACATTTCACCATGGATTAGAATTTTTTTAACATGGTATCAGGGAATCTGTCAGTTTAGGGAATATGGAAAACATAGTTCTTTAGAAATTGTTAATACTAAAAAGATATGTTTCTGAGGCCATAGCAAACTTTTTGTTTAAAAAGAGAACCCAGAACATACAGGTATCTGCTGTGAATAAACATAACTCCTTGTGTAAATAGAAGCTGTAAAATCATCAGGATAGCTAATCAAGTTAGTAACATTAAACTCACATATAAAAAGTTCCCAAAGAACATAGGACTTATGTTTTTGGGGGGCTTTTTTGGTATTTTAGTATGTTACAGAAATTGTATGACCAGTTTGAATCATGTTTGAAAGCATTGTATCCTTATTAGAGTAATTTGTAATACATAGGGTAAGATTATCCATTCTAAATAGCACCACCATGTTAATATCCTAATATACATTGTCCTTGAAATAATATTTGATATATATAAAATACACTTTTTCTTGCATTCTTCTCTGGCATTTTTAAATGCATTTGATCATTGCTAATTATCACCCATAATGAACCAATAAACTGTTTCAATTTGTGTCTGAGTCAGCAAAAGAGATAGAAATCTATGTATAAAATAGACAGAAAACCTTGCTTAGGTAATTTTAAGTTGTTAATGCCAGAAGTATCCAGGATTGAGAAACCGCTATAGTCCTCATTCACTCTATACAATTTAAAGATGTACTTAAACTTAAATTAAATGAGATGTATTCTCATTTAATCTATTGTTTTTCATCTATTTTTCATTTGGATGCTTACATAGGTATAAGTGTACAAGAATATAAATGCTATGTAAAATAGGATTTAATTATATTTTTATTTGATATGATAGTGTTTTTAATCCTTGTGCTCTACTCTTTCTCATTACTGAATGAATTAATAGAACACATTAATAAGGATTTGTGGCAGACATTGCTGAGTGACTCCACTAGTCACTCCCTTCTTATTTGCTGGCAGAGTTTGGGTATCTACTTCTCAAAGGTTGGGAAGTTAATCCTGATTAATTTCAGTCAGTGACAGTCCCTTTCTCATTGTCAGGAGTTGGTTTAAAGTGGTTATGGGACCCAATTCTAAACATAAACAAAGGAGATATCTGACAGGCTATTTCTGGAAAAGGTTTCCTCAAAGGTTCAAGGACTCGAGCAAGGTCAAGTGGAATTTTGGTGAACAGTACCTTGTCTGGATGTGGTGCCTGGTAACTGTCTTTCAGCAATGGATCATAGGTTAATCATGGCCTGAGCAGACTGATTGAAAGATCTTGGGACCTGGATGATGTCATTGAGCCACAAAACCAACCAGCCTTGTAGCCACTCCGCCTTTGGACTATTTTGTGAGAGACTAACCTTATTTTTAAGCCAGTTGATTTAGGATGCTCTGTTACTATTAACGATAACTGAATGAAGACATTCTAATCTAAGTGACACAGAGTTACGCTTATGTGGGAGTTATGCAATTCAGAAGTGGACTTTAGGTAAGTCATTTATTTTAAGGTGTTAATATAGAGATTATGGTCTGTAAATTCTGACATAAATAGTTTGAGCATTAGAAATCAACTCGAAACAAATGTGAACTGTCATATCATTGACCTGCAAAATAAACCTTTGGAACCTGACACAATGTCCTGCAGGTATACCTCCTTTTTTCTAGTACATGGAATAAATTTTGTTTGAGGTCATCTAATTTGTATTACTGATGGATCATTACTACAATTTTAGTTGATTATGTATGGTGTTGAAGTAAGGGTCTAATTTTGTTGGTTTTCAAATGATTAACCTGATGGCCTATATTATTTGGATTATTTACCCCTTTGCCACTGAGCTGAAATGCCATTTTTCATTTATTAAAATCACACATTGTTCCTGTTTTTCTTACTCAGCACTTTCCATATTCATCTAGATGTTTTGAGTATGGTATATAACAGGAATTAAAAGTCTGGTAAGTTATATAGTTTTATGTAGGAACTATATATTCATAGTGTATCTGTTGAAATGGTATCTCCAAAGGTTTCCCACACTGGTGTATCATTATAGCTTGATTACACAATATGTATTTTAAGTAAAATATTGGAAAAGTTTAAATGGCTTATTATATTCTTTTTTCTTATGGAGTGCCTGTATATCAAAGGGTCTGGTGCATATAAGTAGTCTAAACTGCCTCTTCAATAATGTAGTCTATGTGTAACATGTTCATAATTTCAGAGATGCCATTGTTTTCATAAATCAAGAGGGATTTTTAAGACTGAGCAGGAGGAATGTCCTTCCTAGCACGTGAGCTGTAATTCCCGTTTTGTTTTTTTTTTAATTCTTCCAGCATTGGTGAAATGGGTGGTTCAGTTGTTGATTCTGTGGTCTCTCAGGTTGAAATGAAAACAATATTATAACACGAGAGCCACATTCTGAGACCAAAGATTCACCCTCTTCTTTATTCCATCTCAGTATTTCTAGCTGTGCTATCAAACTCCTCAAAGAAGGCTTATAAGTCACATGCAGCCCAAATAATTACCAGCTTGATAGAATGCCTCTAGTTAAACGAAAGTGAAGCACACAAGCAAATGTTTTTCAAATCATCTTGCTTTTTTCTTCTTACCACAGATAACCACATAAAAACAAATTGCTTTTCCCTTCGTTGAATTTAAAGTCTATGGCTCCTGTCAAATTGATGAACTAGCATGGACTGCTGGGCCCTACCCTAGAGATGCTGTGGATGTGAGAGCAGTGTATTGGTCCAGAGAACTAAAGACATGAATGAGGGGAAATACAGGGTGGATGGGTTTTTTCATGGGAGAGGTAATGGCAGACAGAGACAAGTTCTAAAGAAAACTTTTGAATTATAATCTTTTTCTACATTATACCTTTCCCTCCTATGTTTTACTCTCCATAGTAGTATCCCAAGCAGATCACAGCCCACCATGGTCCCTTTATAAGATAGGAAAGCAGCTGGGCACCACAGTGGCACTTAGGTTCCATTAGAGCAGCCCCTGAGCTTGGCTGAGATGAGGAGTGGATACAACAGATACAGGTAGAGTATTTAACCTGGAGCATCCTCCTCACTCCAAAAGCCAAGTCACTGCAGTAACTAGAGACCTGGAAGGAGGCAGTGCCTAGTATATGTCAAATGGTGTCCTCAGGGGAGAGATCAGTTGGGAAGGGGGCTTCATTCCAGGTACCAGTGGTAGGGCATTCTTTTTTGTAATACACACTTCCATTTAAACCTACCTGGAAAAGATGGAACTAGAGCAGGGGTCCTCAGACTTTTTTTTTTTTTTTGAAATTTTTATTTTTAATTCCTACGAATTCTATAACAGACATAGAATGCAAATTTTTATTTAAAAAAAATATTTGCAGCGCCCTTTTATTGATAACATACTGAGATACTTATTTTATACATTTAAATTATTTTAAAATTTAATAACAATAGTTAGCTACAATGTGACCCAGAAATGAAAATATACAAAATAGTTTTAAGACCATAAGTATTTCTACCTACTGGTACACTTATAGGTCATACAAAGATACATATTTATTTTTAAAATAAAGTCTTTCAAAATGAAACCAGCTCATCAAATTTTTACCGAGGTATGACAAATCTTTTATGCAAAAAAAATAAAAATTGAAGCAAAAATAACACTTTCAACTTAGTTTTCTAATGTACTAAAAATCACATCAATTCTACAAATTACTATTTCTGGAGAGAGAATTTTAATTTGTTCCTCTCCCATTTCTATCATGCTTATAATAACAAAACATAAAACTGCCCTAAACACAATAAATGGAATTCTTACATTTCACCATTTTCTTAATATAAATGATAACAAGTCAAATCATATTTTACATTTCTACTTGCTTATATTGCACTAAAATTATTTTACATGGAAGAACTAGTTGATGTATCATGACATAATACCTTAGAAACATTCTTTGATATTCACATCTACATTAATGGATATTTCACAGTCCACTTAGATAAATTCTCTAATATAAACCAAATCATCTAACAGAAACAAATCTATAGTGCTTTGTTTTTGAGAGCAAAGATATTTAACATTTATTATTACTACCTTTGGGAAATACATTGACTCTTAAAAACATTTGGAAATCACACATGGTACCTGGTAATAACATTTGAACAAAACCTGATCCATCCTTCTATCTTTCCTTCATTTATTTTAAAGATGGGGTCTCACTATGTTGCTCAGGATGGCCTCAAAATCCTGGGCTCAAGAGATCCTCCCATCTGAGCCTCCAGAGTAGCTGGAACTACAGTCACATGCCATCATGCCATCACATCCGCCTCTTCATTTATCTTTGTCTCTACATGGCTACCTTTTAAATACAACATTAATTTTATTTTAAAAATAAAGGAAAAATGTATCCATTTATGTAGTAGAGCAGAATTATAAGAGAGATAATACTTCAATGCTGGCTGTTTTATAGAACTCAAATATTCAGTTCTCATCGTTCGGCTACAATATAACCAAGACTGCTTATTTTAGTAATAAACAATGTTAGAGGTTTTTAAAAATCATGATTACAATAAAAACCTGGAACAGCATGATAAAGCTAATGGCAACCTCTTGAACCCCATTTTGAAGTTAGTTCTTCTTCCAAATAAAACTTTAAAACAGTTTCAAATACCCTAATTATTTAGCAAGCATCAGTTTAGGAATATTTTTTTGGTGTTCTAAGGTATAATGTTTGGCATCGAAAAATATGGTAAGCACTTTTGATTTGTGAGTAAAAAAGAAAAAAAAATCAAGTACTAAAATACCAGTGGTTCCTGTAACAGGGTAAATATCCCTATTCAAGTAATGTTCACCCCATAATTAAATTATCATTTTATTTCTCCCCCTCAGAGTTTATTAAGGAAGACAAACCACGATTTTTTTTAGTTGAGGTGAAAAAAACTGCTTCATAAGTTCATATGTTGTAAAAGCCACCACTTGAGAGGGGATGCAGCGAATGTAATTAAGAGATAAACCACGATATAATCCTTTTCGAATTCCATGGTGTCCATAGACATACTTCATAGTATCCTGCATGGTAAGGCACTTTTCAAATTCTGGCAGAGAAGCTCCTAATTGCATTTGCCGACGAGTTACATCAAATGGATAGGATATTGTCTGTGCTCCAGCAACACCACCACAAAATAAGTTTATGTGAGTTTTCAAAACTAAGACATTAGGATTGTCTGTTGATGGTCTGCCAAGAAGGGTAGGAGCATGGGAAAGCCCACCACTCTTTAAGGTACCAAAAGTAAAAAATGAAACACCAGCATATGGAGCCATTCCTAATATAATGGGCATCAGGCCTCTGTAAAATCCAAGGAAACCACCTTCCTTTGCATAAATTGTTTTGAATGCATGAATAATTCCTGTATAGGTGTGTTTCCCTTTCACCTGGAATGCTAGGCGCATCCTAACCATGTCAAGAGGGTAGGTACAGATAACTGCTGTCATATCTGCCATGGATCCAGCCGTTAATCTGTGCACATGACCTGAAACTCCCAGCTTTGTAGTAATTAACGTTTTGTAATGCTCAAATGCCATAAACTGGATTGCACCATAGGGAAAGATTCAAATCATCATTGCATCATTTCCTTTATACAATCCAAGGTATCCTTCCTTCTGGGGAACAGCACGCAATGTAGAAAATACTCCTAAATGTTTATAATGGTGATTGTGAGCTTGTAATAAAACCTTTACTCGATCCAATGGGGCAATTGTTTTGGCACAGCATCCAGCAATACCTCCTGCCAGAAAGGAACACAGCTAGTAGAAGTCTCGGTGGGCGGTGGGCCTTCCACCCCCTGCTGCCTGAGGCATCGTGGGAGGGGGGTCAGCCTCTGCTAAGGCCACCGCCGCCCCGCCGCCATCCGGACCAGGGCCACCTCGGGAGGCTACAAACTTACGAACTGCTGGAGGGAATCATATCCCCATCAGCCAGTGATAAGAGGCCATCCGCCTTGCCAGCGGGGCCCTTCAGACTTTTTAAACGGGGCCAGTTCAGTGTCCCTCAGACTGTTGGAGGGCCATTGGAGAGTGCGGTGCACATTCCACACATGCGTACTGTGGGCCCAAGAGACGGAGCGAAGCAGGACAGGCAGCAGCAGTAAAAACACCTGGCAAGCGTGATAAATGTCCTCAGCGGGTCTCATGTGGCCACGGACCGAGGTTTTAGGACCCCCGAAGTAGAGGATTAGACCTTCTCCCTGCTATTCATTCTCAGCAAAGATTTGCAAATAGCCCAGTAAAAATTAATTCAGGAAAGTAATCAGGCATATGAGGAAT